TTTGCTCTACTTATATAATGTAAATGACACTATATTGTATATTATATATTTTTAATCTAAAGACTGGAAAAACATAGAGTGTGTTTTTATTTGATGTTCTAGTTCATTTTCTAGATGTGAACAAGTTTGAGCTCAGTGTGTGATTTTAAAAATGTCTTAGACACCCTAAAAAAAATGGCATTGATGGATGTAGAGGCACCGCATGAGTCATCGCCATCTTTACACTCTCAACTTTCCGGGTGTGGAGCTGAAGTGTACAGGATGATGTGTGAGGCTATAAAAACTGGGACAAGATGAGTTCTGACCACACAGTCTTACCAAACATTGCACGGAGCCTGGATGTGGTCCAGTTAGAATCCCTTCCAACTCTTCCTCTGGCTCTGCAGGCAATAAGTCAACAAATACTCCAGGAGACACCACACTTATGCGGCCCATTGTCCTGTGGAGTGTGTGTTTGATGAAGGGGCTATGGGGGAACCGTGTCAGAATTTAAGATGAAAGAAACGTGGGTGCTGAGGCTTTACCACAAATCAACAAGCTAAAATATACCGTTGCAGACGAGACAAAAAAAAGTCATTCTCGCATCGCTCCATTTATTCCCACTCCATATACAAATACAAACAAAACAAAGAAGATGTACACAACAATCAACTGCAGCCCTTTACTGGCCTGCTCACTAAAACTTCACCTGATTTAGGACCTTGTAGAGACAGGAAAAGGACAATAAAGCGTTGCCTTGGCACCGTTGCATACACTGACCTATTTCCTTGAGTTTCTCTTGTAGGAAATTTGATATCTTTGCAGTTCCTAATTGTATATCACAAAGGTGCTGCCTGCTCACAGTGAAGAACTGACAGAGGGAAAGAGGCCCCTGCAGTTCTGCATGATGCATGCTGTTGTATCAGCACAGATTTTTGTGTGTTCCTTATGATGTTACATTTTGTTTTGGGGGGTGAACACAGACGACGCAGTGAGGCCAGACAGTCTGTCAGCTGTCTAAAGATGTCTAAACTGTGGTGAAAACTGTCCTCAGTTATCCGCCGCTCGAAGAATGCGCAAAGTGCTAACACATTTTCAGCGTTATTGCAAGGAACGTCAAGTAAAAGTGCATGCTGTTAGTGTTATTAGGATATAAAGAAAGAGAGAACATAGTGAGAAGATGTAGGAAGGCCATTTTTAAGGCCTATCATTATCGCTATCATCAACTTTCATGCTCTTTTATTGACTGAGACATCATCGCCTGGTTTTTAACAAAGAGCCTCCCTGTCCGACTGCTGTGGCCACAGCAGAAAGCCCAAGGGATCTGCTCTTCAAAGAGCCCTTTAGAACCCCGCTCCACTCCGACATGAAAGTTCGAGGATTTCAGCATGCATGGTTGCAATTTTAATAATCTTGTCCTGCTTTGGTCAAAATGAAGTCGACAGACATCAGGGAAAAAGAAAAACATGCCAATATCAGATGTAAACTCAATACTTGGTTAGTGCAATAGTGAGGTCTTCCCCCCTCCAAAGCCTCCTCCACCCTGCCGAGTCTCCCTACTGTGGAGAAAACCTAAACACTCATCCGGCTGCTTAAACTGAAAATCTCAAAAGGTGCTTCGCAGAGGGGGAAACGGGGTTTACAGATGGTGCACGTCATCTCACACTTTTCTGCAGACTGCAATCAGTCATGCCCAATTTCTTCTGGTTTGACAGTTATTTAGGGTTATTTAGTTTGAATTTGCTCTCCGTGTGATATCGCTGGAGAACAAAAGACCTTTGTTGCTTATGTGAAATCATGCAGATGCAATAAAGGTCTTGGGTCCCCAAGACACTCCACCAGAAGTTCTCAAAGTGGCAACCTGACATATTTCAGTGTCCAAAATTCACCACTCCTCCACCATAAATTTACTTAAGCAGAAGTATATCTTTAAAAGAAAATTCCCTCTTGCCAGCTTTAAACTCAGGTATGAAAGACTTTTTACATGTAACGCGTTAAAGTGCAGCTGAACACTCATTTGTCATGAATTGCCATATTTATTTACATGAACTGACCGCAGCCCTGGTTTCGATCAGAGGATCAGGCAGCTGTTTCAGTCGGCTGCTTTATATCTCTCAACCATCGTAATCAATGTATTCCTAATTTCCTCAGCTACTCCAGTAGTTGCAGATCAAGGACACTGCAAAAGTGTGCTGATAAACAATCCACAGCATTAAAGAAATTTAACACAGAACAGTCTTGAGAGAGCTTAAAGTTTCTGGATTTGCTTGTTTGTGAGTATTTGATGGTTTTAACTGAAACTTCCTTTAATCTGTCATTACAAGAGACACTTGAGAACAATAACAATTACAAGAATGCAGCTAGCAGATGGAAATAACATAAATAAACAATACAAGAAATGAATAAAAACAGTTGCAGGAATCATAAAGCGTGCAACAATGACGCTTTGAGAACACCAAGGGGTTGTAATTCATTTTAGGACAGCTTACAATTCATCCCATTTCAAGTTTAAGGTAACTGAAAACAGTTTTTCCAATGTCAGGGGATATCTCAGGAAAACGTGAAGACTGGTTTTGTAGTTGGAAAAAGACAGCAATCTTTCAATTCGAGACAAGAATCTTGTTTATTTAAAGGTGTTCAGTATAAGTCAGTCAAATTAAATCCCCAGGTACTTGTAAGGATCAGCAATTAAAGTTTTGGCTACAGAGTGAACAGAGTCACACCGTGGAGAATAATGTGTCTAAAGGGCACTTGTCATACTAACTGCCAGCTCCATGTTTTTAATTGTCAGGTTCTGCTGGAGTATCTTTGTGTGCTTAACAATTCCAAACAATCCTTATTTGTCACACTGGGCCTCTGTGCAGCCACTCAGTTCGCCCACTGACAGAAACAGACCTTTTTAGCTCCATTTCACCTATCTTTAAATTTGACTGGCTGCCTCTTGTAGACAGAAGGTTTGAAAAGCATGTGGGTGGGGCTTCTGTTCCCACAACCAGTGCTGTGAGCCTGAGATGGCCATATTAGGGATATCGACCTGAAGATGAGCATTTAGGGAAGTCTGAACCCCTGAGAACGTTTGGCTCATATGGGTTACTTTGCACATATGATGAGATTGATTGATTATTGAAACTTTGTTCATGTTTAATGTGATCCATCTATTACTATAACAGATTAAATAATAATAATAAAAGCAGACCAAGTCAGCTTTAAGGACTTTAGTTAATTTTCTTGTGTCTGTTTCTGTTTATTTGTGTGTTTTCTATGTTGCAGTGCACTGACCTCTGAATGCACCAGGGTTTACAGTGGGTTAGAAGCGTGTTGTCCCTGTACTCTGGGATGACTTTGAGTCCATATGGGTTTAAGAAAGGGAAAGAGGATCATGAGACAGGCATGACATGTTCTGGACTCTCGGGGCTGACAAAGAGCAGGGATAACTGTGCAGGGTAAAGTACTGCTGCTTGCGAGCAACCCACTTCATGTTCGTCTCTCGAGTCTGGCAAATAATTCAGTGTCGAGCATTATTTATGCACACTGTTCCTTTATTCTGTAACAGCTAAATCAAAAAATCATAACTGCTCCCCAAAATGGCTTGCAAAATCCTCCGTGTACACACACACACACCTGCAGAGACGATGCATGTATCAGAATCCAGAAGTCAGCAGAGTGAAATTAAACAGGATGTGGATTTACAGAGGAGAAGTGAATTTGGTCAGTCGTATTGTAAACGTCTGAATAGTTATACTGAGGTGTGTGTGTGTGTGTGTGTGTGTGTGTGTGTGTGTGTGTGTGTGTGTGTGTGCAGCCAGGCACAAGAGAACATTGTCTTTTCTTTCTTTTTGTAATTTTCCAGCTTTCATCTGTTTTATACATTTAATGCATGTAAAATGAGTTAAACATTTGCATATGGTTTTTTTAGTACGTTACATTATTCATCTAATTAAAAATATCAAAGAAAAACAAAAATTGTGAAGGTTCTACACTTTGTTGGAAAACCTAACCGTTCCCTTAAACATCATTAGTGCAATAAAGCACAATCATAAGGGTAACTTCAGTTCACACTCCTTGAATTTCTTATAAGTGTATTTAGCGTGTATTTTTTTCATTAGAGAATATTTTCCTTCTTGTAACCACTGGACCTTATAAATCATGTGTACCAGTGACAGCTCGAACAAAAAGGCTGTTTAGTGCCTCTCAGCCTGCAGGGAACTGAGAAGCTTTCTTTGGTTATTTAATTACCTCCACCAAGGAAGTTATGGGATTGGTTTGGTTTGGTTGCACTAAAAAAAATGGATTTGCATGAACATTTTTTACCAAAGGTGCAGCCGATCTGAATCTGGATCCAGGAACTTTTGAAAGGACTCTTCACCATGGTGAAATTGGGTACAAAGATGCACAGATCTTGCAGTATCTTTACAATCACATGTCAGATTAAAAAGGAAAAAACAACTGGTAGACTTTGATTTGATGTTCTCAAGAAAATATGACTTCTGGATCCAGGGAATCTGTTTAGACATGGCTTAGAGGGAATGCTGTCTTCTTTTAATTGTTGATATTTTTTTATATTAATTGCTATACTTTATTTATCTGGAAAAGCCCCAAATTGTACATAACAAATATAAAATGGGTCAATATATAAAACTATGCAACCAATATGCAAATTTTAAAAAAGAATAACAAATACGTTGGTTTTTTAAGTTTATAGGATGCACAAATTCAGTTGTCGGGAATTTTACGGCTGAAATTTGAATCATTGATCTCTTCTATTAAGCGTCTTGGTGACTGAATTAAAGCAGGAAGCACAAATGCGGGGTCTCGTCTCCATCTAAAAACTGAATACTCAAATATTTCACTCACAGATGAAAAAAACACACGAGGTAGACTCTGACCGCCCTCCGGACAGTTCCTGTAGTGCACGCACGATGGCGACACTTGGCTAATCAGAGCCATGTGGCTTCTGTGGGCACAACTTCTCCCGATGAAGTTTGCTGGAAGGATTGCGCTCAGTCGGAGAGGGAGAGAGAGAGACAGACTGAGAGGAGGCAAAGCGGAGCTGGGCTCGAGCGAAGAGGAAAGGCGCAGAAGCCCGGACAGACGGAGACAGCTTTCTTCAAGAAGCACCAATTTGTTTTAATCCTAGGGAGAGTTTTGGTGGGCTTTGAAAAAACTGCCGAAACGACTTAGAACTGATCAAAACGCTGAGCTTAGAGTGGTTATTATTATTATTGTTGGGGTTATATCACCTTTTTTGTAGGGGGACGGACTCGAAATTGATTATTGTGTGTGGTGGATGTGAAAAGCGTGGAAAGGTTTAACACACAACCGAAGGAATGTATCTAAACCGGGCAGCGGCGAACCAGCGACTCTGGAGATGTCCACCATGCGCGCTCTGGATCGCCCTGCTCCTCCAAAGTGTCCTGGACCTGAGCGCGTCTGGTGAGTCTCCAAAAACTTTTTTCCTTAGCCTTCACTTCTAAAATCATCCATTTTCCTACTCTCCTCTCCTCACATTCAACTTTCTAATCTGTCAGCCTTGACAAAAAACTCCTGCAAGGGCTTCCAACATGTTCCCAACGCGCTCCGCTGCGGCGTTGCGCTTCTTTTATTTTAACGTGCTGTAAAGATGGTTCAAGTCATCCATCCCCATGTTTACATTTTGCTTGTATATTTTAGGCCGACTTTTTGTCTGTGGCTCCTGAAATCATCTGTTAAGTGACCCCATACTGCCGGCCATCGTTCAGCCTCTCTTCTCATGCAAATGATCTTTGGTTTTTTAGATTATCGTCCCATTGTCATTCTGAAGGCTCGGCACGGGGAAATACTCCACTCCAGTGGCGGACAATAGGGGGGCTCTTAACGAGTCAGCTGGATGCCCATTGTGCCCACTCTAACCACGCCCCTCAAAAATCTGAGAGTTAAAGATAAGGAATGTGTGAAGGCTTATTTAAAAGGCAAACAGCCACTGCATGTAGTGTTAGGTTAGGTTGATGGCGGGAGGGGTTATCGCTGATTAAGGTAGTAAGATGGGGATGCATGCATGGGCTCCAGAAGCCTGTGGCCTCTTGGAAACAGGATTCAGTTTACCTATACGTGTATCCTGCAACACAGACATTTAAATAAATCTCTATTATAGTTGATTTGTGTGTCCAGACTCCCTCACTGCTGTTTGCACTGCACAGAGCCAAGTTAAAGATAACCTGATAGCAAATGCGAGTGGCCTGTGACTGATTCACATAAGTGTGATTGAACTGAGTTTGAATTGAGTTTGAATTGTTTACGAAGCTGCTCCTGGAAGGCATTTTCTTCCTTTGTCCTGGCTTTTAATTGTTTATAGTATATGAAACAATCCTCCCCATCCAGACCAGTGGTGATGAATTGTCTCCGGGGTTTGCTTGGATTATCCCCGTCCTCCATAAATGCCTTTTCAACTGTTATTTACAGTGAAGGTGTGCAGCATTTCCTGTATTGGGCATCAAGCATTTCACCAAAGCCTGTCTTTTTTCTCTCTCTCTCTTTCCTCTCTGTATCCTCCGTCCTCTCTTGTTTTTGTTCTGAGGCAGGGAGGAATGTTAATTCACATTACTTAAGTGGATGAGTTAGCTATAAATTATTCCTCAAATGGAGTTTAATGGTTGAATATGAAGTGGAGAGGAGCCAAACCCCCTGGTCCTTTAGATACTTCATATCTGTAAAGAGACAAGTGGAAATGACTGTGTTTCCCACCCAACCACATACGATCCAGAGGGGAAAATACTCTGATAATTAAGTTTCAAATACTAATACTCCCAGGGTACTCTCTTCAACTAATATCATCTATAAACAAAAAAAGCTTCAGTCTCCTTTTCTCCCAGAGATAATCGGCAGCTGCTGCTTCCAGTGACTTTCATTCTGATTTTCTCTCCATTTAAATGAATGTCACTTTATGATGAAACTTACTGGTGTGCTGCACATTAATGACACTCATTTACAAGCTTTTTTTTTATCCCTTAATCACAGCAGCTCTAGGATATGTTTGTGACAATGCTGTCTTTTTCGGCAGTTCGCTGTAATGGGGAGAGTCAGAGAGGAACAACAGTGCGGTTTCACTGTAATCAAATGTTAAGACAATAATTCCGGACAAAGTGATCAGGAGCTGTACTGTGGTTGCAACTGAGCAAACGGGACAAAGAGGAATCTTTAAAGTGTGGTCGTTGTTGTCTTTATTTGCGCCGTCTGGTGCGCTGGGCAGGCTGCGTGCTTCCATTGAAGAGGTCGGAGGTCACAAGTCTGTCACTGTAGTTTAAATGCGAGCATTTCCAGGAAAGGTCAGGCGTTTCCCCGGCCGCAGGGAAGGATTTTGTTTTATATGGTGGACATGCAAAAGGGTGTGCAAATTAGCGGTTAAAAATCTGTGCACCCTTTCAGAAAACATTTTAAACCTAAGGGAATACTTCCTTCATTTGCAGGATTAGAAAATGTCAGTTAATGTACACCATTGGCTGATTGTAGGAAATTTGATGATTTTCCCCGTGGATTCCCTCTACTTGCCAAAAGCAGTTTAGCCATCACTATCAGCCCTCAGGGTGCTAAAACCAACAGATCGTGAGATTTTATTCTTATAGGCACTGCTTCACTTGTAAATCACAAATGTTACTGCCATGCATTTGTGCAGAGTGGGGGACAAAAAAAAAGCCCACCTAAAGTTTAACAGGGCTTTTTATTTTTTGTCCAAACATGATTTTATTTTATTTATTTATTTTTGCTGTGCCAGCAGGGCTTTTTTTTTTGTTTGAATCACCTGAGTTTGAACCCGGGTGGAAATCAGATTTCAGCTAAAAGCAGCCATGCTAAAAAGTCCCACCTTTTTATTTAAACATCGAGATAAGCACTGCATGTTCATCTGTCAGCTCAGTGATAATCTTATGACAAATTCCTAAAACTGAATGGACAAAAAATGTTTTAAATCCATGTAAACTGTGTAAATGTTCCTGAATGTGGGACATTCACCTCTGGGCATGAAAAGGTCCAGTGCGGGGCAGGGACTATGGGAAATGTGTTTAGAATTGCATTTAGCCGTTTAATAACACTTGGGAAGGCTATAAATCATGCCGGGTGGAACTGACGCGGTACAGTTTTCAGCGGGACACACTGTTGACAATAAAGGCACTTCACCCCTGGAAAATCCAATTGGTCTTACAGGCTGAGTGTGTAGGAGCTTGTCCTGGTGCGTCTGCCACTGACATGCCTATCTGGACTGTTTTATGTCTCCTGGTGTTTTCTTAGACTCTTATTTGGGGGAACAGACCACATGAAGTGAAAAAGAAAGCTCAGAATTTGTGGTTTCGTTTCTTTTATGAGGACTTGTTAAAAATTTTTACATATCAGCCACTCCTTCTGCTGATTTTTATTTTGTATTTTTTAAGCTGTGCAGTGCATGTGATGGCTACTTGCTGCTGTTTCTCACTTTGAGAGTGCCTATTTCAAATTATTCAGCGTTTTATCCAGATGCTCTGGGAAATGTTTGGCTCGGTCTCGAGTGGTGCATCTCTTTAAGATCGATGACCCGGCTGCGTCTAAAACTCCACTCCTCCGCTCTTGACATTGCACATTACACTAAGTCAGGCATCAACTGCCGAGCATCTCTAAAAGCTTTTGGCAGACGCAAAAGAATGTGGCAGGAAGCGTGTGTGTGAAAGAGATGTATGTCTTTTTTTTAAACACACACACATCTACATATTTTGAGGCAGCTTGACTCAGTTCTGAGTGTGCGAAACCGGGAGAAAAAGCATAGACGTTAATTTAATCAGCACACGGCTGTAAATCATAAGCTCAAACTCTGTTTTATGTCACTGATTTAAAGCGCCGGTGTGTAAACTATGTCGTGCACTGGCAATTACCTACTTCCCACTCGTTATTAGGCACATGTGTTTGCCGAGGCTCGGCGTGCCTCAGTGCTGCCACGGGGCAAACTGTTTTGGAGAATATTGTGTGATAATTGTTTAAATGATGTAGAGCCAGCAGGTAATTTGCTTCCAAATGATAATAAAAAGATATCAAATGACTCTTTGAGTGCAACTTTTTTGGTTGTTTTTTTTTCCCTAATAAGACCGACAATTACAGTATTCACATAATAGGAGATTCAGAAGAACTTTCCTTATGTTGCTTGGCTGGAATGTCCTGATAATATGCCGTCAGTAGTTGGGTTGTCAAAGGAATTTTTTAAAAAGGAGAGCCAGATTTGAGTTTCCTTTCTTTTGTATATCTGCTCTGCAGTGAGGCAAAAGCCTTTTTTTTGTGAGCGACGAGAAGTGTAAATTTCCTGCATTTGCTCAATACTGGCAGAGACCAAAAAAAAAAAGAGAGAAAGAAAAATGCTCCCATTTCCACAAATCGGGCTCAGTGGAGCGGGGTGGTGTTTTAGTGGCAAGGTTTTCCTTGGAGAGGCTGCGTTTAATCAGAGGCTAAAAGCGCTGCACTCAGATCCTCTTTGGAGACGTTTGATAAAGTTTCTGCCACTACAAACTGTAGCCAAGCGTGAAAACCTTTTTCCTGCAATTTACTGTCTGCACAGGAGGTCAGCCTGTTAGAAAGGAAAAAAGCTCTACAGGGTTCAGGGAACTGCGGTCTGGATTAAGAAAAAAGGAGAAACAACATCGGTTCAGGCTTTGGTGCTGCAGTTGAGGAGCCAGTGTGTAGATGGCACTTGAATGATTTTAGCAGAGTGAGAGTCTAGACTGAGCAGGGAAATAAGCTGCATTAGGGTGGCGTTCTCCAGAGCAGAGCATTAATTGGCCATATTTTCCCGCTCCCGCCGACTGACCTGTACCGTATACGTCCAACCGCAAATGAACTTGCTTTCTATACCTTCCATTTGATACTTTCTGTGTTGATGTCTTTTGGCTGCTGCCTGGAAGACAAATTACTCCTGCCACATTAAAAAAAGAAAAGGAAAAAAAAAAAGCTCTGTGCTGTATTTTATACACACAACACAATGAGTCCTTTGCTGCAGTTGTAAGGTAGGCTTTAAGAGAGAGACCGTGCTGATGACAAAGTGACACTTTAATGAGTCTAATGGAATGAGCCACACATACTGCATATCAACTTTCCATACGGACTTGGCACGGTTTCGTGTTGTGGACCGTGGGGAAAGGGCGCTGCTTTAAAGAGCTCTAAATGTCACTGAAGCCCCACTCCTTGTTCGAGTTTTATCAAATTACTGCTTTGCAAGTGTCCTTCACAGCCTGTGCTTAACATGTGGAGATCATGCTACATTTCATCTAATAAGGGGTTCGGATGAAACATGGCTTTTTAAATTCTCCTGTATGTGCCAGAGTAAATCTTTTTAAGCCCTGTTTGCCTAGCATTAAGGACTTCAGAAACTCCTACTGGAAGCAGACGGGCAGATCTCAGTTCAGCCACAATTAAATCTTTGTATAACACCACGCTCCCACCAAGGG